ACAGGGCAGGTAGTTTGAAGAGATGGGCAGCTGCTTTCTGCATTATTTGGACCTTCCAGATGGACAACCAGGACTTGAACTGCATTTGGAAGGAAACAGCACGTCCGTGCTATATAGTCTTGATGTAGCTAACACCGCTTGGCAGGGTGCACTCGGCACTTGCTGGAGGCCCCTGAGCTTGACTTCAGTGCATTGTACAATAGCATAGCCAAGACAAAACGTGGAGGAAAATGTGCCTCAAAGAAATGGCTACAGCCATCTACACCTTCACAGATTGCCCAAAGCACTATAAGCCATCAAAGCTGCCTGGGGATCCAGGAAGAGCAACAAAGCTGGTAGGACCCCAAAGCTGCAAACTGCTGCGAACTACAGAAACACCCTTTGTTCCTGGATCTGTGTTTCTCACCCTTTTCAGGTTACTACTAGCTCCTTATTCAAGTAAAGCTCTTTTGCACCCTGTTATCCCATGTGTAACAAAAAAAGTATCAATAGATCCATAGACAAAGAGGGAGTGGATGTGGGTGAATGCATGTGTGCAAGGAGGTGGGAGAAAATGTACCCTGGGCAGATAGTGGCAACTCTTTACCTGAGTGTCTAACACAACTTTCAATGCCTCACAGTATTAACCTGTTCCAACCTGATAGCTAAGAGATGTCATACTAGATCGGGGTGTTAAACTCATTTGGCCCTATGGGCCATGTAAGTGGCATGGGGTCAGTCCAGGGGCTGGATCAGGCCTATGGCCCTCCCCCATCCACATGCCTGATCCAGCACAAGTACCCCCAACCCAGTGCTGACCAGGATGCCGGCCCCAGTGGGTGGTGCAGCTCTGGACCTGGCCCTCGGGTGACATGGATAGTGTAGCCTAGCGCCCACCCCAGCAGGTGATGCGGTTCAGGCCCTGCTCACTGCAGGTCATGGGCTGGGCTTCTCACTGGAGCTGGGTCCCGGGCGGTGCAGCCAGGGACCGGCAGCAAACTGTGGGCAGCTTGCATCCTAGGCACCATGCAGGGGGGTCTGGTCTGGTGCAGCAAAAGGGGCAGAACTGTGGGCCAAATTATAGGGCTCTGTGGGCTAGATTTGGCCCATGGGCCATGTATTTGATACGCTTGCACTAGATGCTTCCCCATGCCAACATGTTACACTGATATCTCATCCAGGTTGTGTTACAACCAGCTCATTTTCAAGCCTTTCACTATTTCTCACCAAGAGGTACCTTGGCTGGAGAAGAAAGAGAGCAATAGTCAGGGTCTTCATGAATAGTCATCATGAATCTTTACCTCCAGGCTTGTGTGACTAAAATCTCATTATTCATTATAACGTAGCACTAATGGGGTGTGGCTTTTTCCCCTGGCTAAATACTTGAGCATAACAGAGGAACAAAATGCTACATTTTAATGCTCTCCCTAAGACAAGGTTGTTACCTACAACACTTTTGTTCGTGTTTTGCAGTAGCATCTCACATCTCTAATCATAATTCAGAGTTCATCTGTACCTTTGCTCCTAAGAATTTATGATCTAAATAAATCTCTTCTTGGGACTTCATCAACCATGCATAGCCAGCAGCAAATTAATGCATGGGCACGTGGGGCCCGGGACCAGAGACCCCTGCCTCCCCCAGGGGCCTCCTGGGGTGCCAGTGATCCCCGCTACCCGCCACTGCGCCGCACTGCATGAAGGGCTCTGCCATGAGCCCTCCAACCTCCCCCTGTTGTCCCAGCCTCCCCACCCCACCATGGCTGGCCCAGTAGCCCCAGCTCTGGCCCTTTAAGAAAAAAACCCCAAAAAACCCTAGGACTCACTGGCTGCTGCAGCAGCCTCGGGGCTTCTGGGAGCTTGTGGAAGAGCCCCCTATGCAGTATGGGGCAGTGGGGGGCAGCAGGGATCACCCTCTGCCGGGCAGGAACTGGTGTGGGGGGCTTTTTTTTTTTTGTTGCTTTTTTTTTTATTTTAAAGGGCTGCAGCTGAGGTAGGTGAGGCAGCCATGGGGGAGGACTTGGGGAGTAAAATGGGGACCCTATTTTTTTGTCTAGGTACTACTGTAATAAGTCAATGGTATGTAAGGGAATAAATACGTTGGTGCTTTAAATGCTTACAACATTTGAACACAACGTTCAGACAGAAGCAGTGAACTTGATAGCTGAACAGATGGAGAAGTCCAAAAGATTTCAAAAAAGGATCAAATAGCCAAACCCTGCCCCTTCGGTGTGGGCTTGTCCCAAAGAGGTGCACTATTCCCCATTGTTTACTACTAGGCAACTGACTTCAGTAGGACCCGGACTCTTGCTCTTTTTAAGTTTTGTCAACTCCAGCAGGAAATCGTCTTCAGTAGGCATCGTTTGATCATAACTGAAGACGTTTTGAAATCTACCTGACATAGGGAAATCCCCCTACCACTTCATGCTGGTGGCTGAATTTTAATAATGACTTAGGAGCACTGGCCCTCAATCTTTAGAAACTGAAGGCACCCCTCAGAAAATGCCAGCTCTTAGCTATCACTTGCTCTATTATTTTTTCATCATCAAACCCCCCCCCCAATTCTTCCGTTGCAAAGAACTCAAAGACCACAATATGTCACAAATATTTCTGACACTGGATTCCTATTTGAAATCTCTGGGTTCATCTTGCATATCATGTGTAAGTATTTGCATACCTAGCGATACTAATACTATGTTGTATCCTGTGGCACCCTTAAAAGGATCCTGCAGCACCCAGGGTGCCATGGTACCCTGCTTGAGAATCACTGGCTTACAACTTCCTCCATGTTACTACTGTAAGCCAATAGTTCTGGGTGTGTGTACACCACTGTGTGCGGGCACCGGATGTGGTATTTTAACAATAAATGGCTTAGTCTGTCTGTCTGTCCATAACACTATTGGAGCACTCTGGTTACTGAAGCAACCAATCAGAGTGCTCCAACAGCGTTATGGATAGGAGATGGCAGCAGCGCAGTGGAGCACCGCACTGACGGAGGGGATGGAGCGGGGAGGGACAAGGCCAGCAGTGTTGTCCTCGCCCCCCCCCCCCCCAGCCCTGCTCCTTGGAGGCAGCGGAGCAGGGATGGAGCAGGGGGGCACAGCCAGCGCTGCTGGCCTCACACCCCGCCCCCTGGCCCTGCTCCTTGGAGGTGGCGGTGGCATGGGGTGCTGGTGGAGGGCATGTCAGGGCAAGGTCCCCTGTCCCCCGTCCCCCCCCCCAGCTCTTGGAAGGCAGTGGCAGTGCGGGGGTGGGGTTAGGGTTAGGGTTAGCCAGCTTCCCCCGCCTCCATCTCCATCCCCACCCCCCCGCCGTAAAATTCACTAGTACAGATACAAATACAATACTGCCAGCTTTAAAAAATTATGCAATCTGTAAATAATAAGAAATAGGGGGCTTTTTAAAAATTCCCTTCTGGTTTGGAGCATTTTAGGCACGTAAGTAAAATTTCTGGCTTGTCTCCAGAATCATGAGTTAAAACATTTTATTTAAAAAATGAAAGCAGAGATTCATTCTTACTCACTGGTTTCCAAGATCTGAGGGTTCATAAAAGACTCATTAGCTGGAAACAGTGCAAGGTGTGTGTGTGGGGGGGGGGATGGGACCCCCCACAGCTATCATGTTGATGGCAAAAGACTGAAAAAAGTGATGATTTTAATATGATTAGAGCACACAAGACCACTGCCAACCAAACCAGAAATGGGACAGACTTGTGACAAAATATACTAGAACCAAATAATGAACAACATTGTACTTTACCAAGTTGCCACTTTCTTGAACACATGGTCTCCATCATCCAAATGGGCAGTGCCGGTTCCAGCATAGCAATGGCCATGTTTGCAAAGCAGATTGAGCCTTAAAGAAGGAAAAACACAGAAATTATTTCACTTGAATACTGAGCAGAAGCCAAATACAGGCGGCCAGCGTTTACAAAAACGTGCTCTTTGTCATAGACCAAATATTGATTGGTATGAAATGGCAGGGAGTGAAAAACCACTCACAACTGATTTCCTATTTATTTCAGTTCTCTAAGAAACTGTACAATAAAGGTTAAGCTATTTTCATAATAGGAGAAAAACAAAGATGTCAGCGAACTCGGTGACATTTAGAAAGTGCAGCAGTTCTGACTTCTATAAAGGATAAGCTCTAACGAGACTGTTTTGGTCTTTACAGCTGTTCTCTGGGGGCAAAATTGTAACCATGTGGCACATGACTCTGACCCCACTCTCTAAGCATCTGAGGATGACTAAGAGGGGACACGGAGATCCAGTTCCTTAAAAATACGTAGGTAAAGAAGTCCCCTGTTTCGGTACCACTGACATTTGCAAAGCTTCTGCTCAGCTGCCACCTATTCCTGCAGGCAACTAAGTACCCTCAATGCCCAAGTTTCTGCCTGTTGGCATTCACAGAGCAGCCTCACTTCTGAAACCACCTCGCTGCTAACTGCCTGCTCTGGGCTCTAGTCAAGCCAGAGGCTCTGAAACAAGGTTATAGGGGAATGCTCCTCTCGCCAGCAATCTCAGAGCATGCCCAAACCCTGGTAGCTGCTAGCCCCCGGTCTGGGAGACCTGGAGGCAGGCCGCAGAGAGGTGAAGGGGCAGCAGAGCAGTTGTGCAAAAAGCAGCCAGAAATATAGGGTGAATTTGAGGGAGCACACTTCTGATTGTAAGGCACACAACTCCAGGCAAGGAGTAAGGGGGAAGCGCCAGCCTCTGGCTCAGCAGCGCTATGGGGCAGCTTGACCGCTTTGGCATCTAATCCCCTTCTCGCCCCGCCACTCTCCTCAGTGATTTCTTTCCAGTTTGCTTAGGCAGCTCCCTTGCTCAGCTGGCCGTGTGCTGAAAATTGCTCACTTGCATGCCCTAACCCTCTCCATGTATTGTGTGGGCAGTCTGGCCCCTTCGCTGGAGGCCGAGAATTGCACCAGGCAGCAGGCTGACTAGTTTAGTTGGCACAGTGCTGTGCAGAGAGATGCCTTTTGAAGACCTGGGGCTAAGTGTCCTTACTGCCATGCCAGTTCACTGGGAGGTGACAGGTTCCCACAGTTAGCTGGCAGCCAGAAGACAACCATAACCCTTTCAGTAGAAGGGACCTGTTGCTCTGCCAGAAGGAAGGAACCCTGCCTCGAGGGCAAAGATTGCATATTTAGCAGTCCTGCCAGAAAAGAGATTCTGTATATTTTTTCTTAATATAAACCCTAGGGGCCTATGTTGGTCTAATCAGCTCCTTGTAGCAGCAAGCTTCACCAGCCCAGCAAGAGAAGGAGAGGGTCCCAGATCAATGGAGGATTTTGGAAGGAAGCAGAGAATTGGTTGTTATGGATTCCCTGCACCTCTGGATATTTCTAGCCTGGTGATGATGTTCTCCTCCAGACCAAACAAATATTTCTAGCCTGGGGCAGAATCATTATCTGCATCTTTACCACATTTCTTGTGGTGTGTTTTGGGTTTAAAACTAGGGTTAGTACATTGTGGAAGAGATATAGTATTACTACTGATTCTCTGAGTGGATGAGCCTGTTCCAGTCTTCCAGAGAACTTGGAGAAGGCAGGGCAGAAGGGCATAATCCACTATAAAATGAATTCCCAGGAAGTTTGGAAACCATCAGTGTAACCAACACCCTAAGCCACACAGGCCTCACACCTTTTCTTTCTAGTACTTCTAGTGCCCTCTTGGACTAACGTTAAAGAACAGTCACATGTTTCTCTATAACTGTTTACCATTGAATTTATTACTTTTTAATATTCGAGTCCAACTTGTCTTAGAACAGAAATGTATTTCTTCTGGAATAAGTTTTCCATGTTGCAGTTCAGCACTGTATAAGCACCGTTGTCATTCTTCATTTGAAAATGCCAAGATGTATTAGACTATGCCTCTAAGATCCCCTAAAACCAACTTGAAGACCCACTCCCCCCTTCCTGGGGCAAGAAGCAACAGCTCATCAATGCTCTGCAAATAAAGATGAACTGTTAACCTTTCCAATATAGTCTGTGTTACTGGAGCAGTTCCAATTAAATACCTCAGAGGTGCCCTGCCCCAAACCAGAAACCAGCTGAGCTTGAAAGAACTCATCGATGCAGGAAAACCATTTCAGGCCAAATGAAGTCCAGCTCTAGGAAGAAGTGCTATTTTTACTTAATGATGGGCTCAGGCAGCAAAACTTTCACGCAGCTCATCCCAAACTTTGTTACAAAGACACACGCACATGGATTGCATTGATTTCCTGTGAGCACAGGACTCAAAATGTCACCAGGATTTGCCACGACGCAGCGACTGTAACAATCTTGTAATTGTTCCTTGGCAGTGCTGCCTCCCAGCCCTAGTCTCAGCCCAAGCATCTAGGATATAGTCCAAAGGGATAATAGAAGAATGAGAGTTTCTGCCTTTGCTAGACCTGGTATTTACTTATATGCCACCTACCACACCATCCCCAGGAGGCAGATAACTAGGTTTTGTCATGTCTGTCTGGCGAAATCTTTTGTGAAAAGAAATCCATATTTCTAGTAAATAAATGCCTCATAATTATAGCAATAATCAGACTTGCAAAGGCTCTAAAATGACGTGAAGATTTCAGGCTGCTCCTTCCAGCTGAGGCACGAGGGCAGAATGATTGAAGCATTTAATTGTGGTTCAGGCAGTTAAGCTGATCCCTGCTTTAGGCTTATGTGAGAAGCTTCCCTGAATTGATCCAGCTGTAAGTGGGTACCTCGTTATGCTGGCTTGGTAGTCACAAGTGGCTGGAGATGATGCTGGCCACATCATTCTCTTGGGGCGTGTGTAGATGAAACAGGGACCTTAAGTTGAAGCGGTGGGTTTTAAAAAAGATCAGGCTCGCTGCTTTTCTTGGGCGGAGCCTGCCTTCCCGGGCTGCTGCCAGGCTGCCTGCAGGGCTTCCTGCAGAGCCGCACGGAGCCCGGTGCTTTGCTCCGCGGCTGTAGGGGCAGCAAACTAAAACTCCTTGGATGCATTTTAGTTTGCTGCACCCCAAGTCATTTAAGGCACATTACGCCAACGAATTTCCTACAGCGGCTGAAATTAATGCGCAATACATCATCAAGGTGTGCAAACACCGACACCGTTAAAGCAGTGCAAAAGCATTTGGCCCACTTTAATGTGTCGTGCACACATGCCTCTCTGTGCCACTGGCTACAGAAATGGTGTGCAATAATCCTACTAGCTTCATGGGCCTTGGGAGGACCTTTGACTTTGAACCTCTAATTGGACCTTGGCTCTTCAAGGATGAGAAAAATCAAATAGAGAGGAGCTGGGTACATTCCTGTTGGAGACTATTAATGTTTTCCTAAAAGGAAGGAAGGTACCAGCTTCCCTCAGGTGAAAAGTTATTCGACCGCCTACTCCAGAAGCCAGTAGTCCTCAAAGGCTCAATGTCTAGTTGGGAGGAGGTAGCAAGTGGGGTTCCCAGGGATCTCTCCTGGCTCCAGTACAGATCTTCCTTAATGATTTGGACACCGGGACTGAATGGACACTTAGCAAATTTGTGGATGACATCAAATTGGACTGAGTTGCAGACACTCCGGAGGGCAGTGGTAGGATCCAGAATGACGTGGATAGACTGGAAAAATGGGTCATAAACAGTGACATGAGGTTTAACAAGGACAAATGCAAAATCCTGCACTTGGGACCGAATAATTGCATGCACAAATATAGACTAAGGAATCAGTGGCTAAGCTGCGGTACTAGAGAGAAGTACCTAGGGGGCGGGGGGAGAGGGGGTCAGTAGTTTATAAGCAGTACATGAGCTAGCAGTATGATCTTGGCAGAAAAAAAATGCCATCAGCACACTAGGTAGTAATAATGGGTGTGTCACTTGCAAATCTAGGGGAGTGGTTCTTCCACTCAATTCAGCGCTGGTGAGGCCTCTCACCTGGAGTACTGTCTGGTTTTGGATCCCATACTTCAAGAAGGATGTGGACAGATTGTAAAGTGTTCAGTGCAGACCAGCAAAAATGGTTAGGGGCCTTGGAGGCAAGACCTATGAGAAAAGGCTGAGAGAACTAGGGTTATTTAGTCTGGAGAAGAGAAGACCTAGGGGGAATTTGCAAACAATTTTCAAATACCTGAAAGGTGATTATGAAAAAGATGGGAGGGGGTTTTCTCCATAACTATATGGGACAGGACTAGGAGCAATGGTCTCAAGCTGCAGCAGCAGAAATTTAGGTTGGAGATGAGGAGGAACTTTCTGACTATGAAGGTGGTCAAGCACTGGAACAGGCTACCGAAGAAATTGTGGGATCTCCATCCTTGGAAATTTTCAAGAGCAGGTTGGACAGACACTTGGCTGGGATTGTTTCTTTGGGATGATCCGGCCTTGAGCAGGGGGCTAAACTGGAAGATCTCACGGGCCACGTCCAGATGTGCGTGGATGTTTGGTTCCCTGGGGACAAGTAGTGGTGGTGCACCTTGTGCGGCTGCTAGTTGTCCCAGGGGAATGCCTGTGCCATGCATGCTCTGGCACATGGCCAGTTACCCCAGATGGGGTATGGGAGGCTGAGACCAGCACTGGGCTGGTTCCAGCAGCCTTACCTGGGGCCCTGGGGGCCTCCTGAGGCTGCAGCAGCGGTGATCCTGCTGCACAGAGCCTGGCCAGCAGTACAGTATGGCTCCAGCCAGCCAGGCTCCAGTTTTGGGCAGCACATACTGCTGCCACATGCACAATGCTGACTTTTTTCTCCATGGGGTTTTTTTTTTGACCCCTGGATATCAAGTTTTATAATAATCAGTTGGCAAATAAAGGAGATGTGGGAAAATAACTCTCTAAATATGGACATTTTCATTCTAATATGACAAAAATATCCATACATTGGATTATTTTTATCATATGGGGCCTCTTAAACTGGACATAGTTTAGCATGTCATAATCTGGCACGGGACTGCAGTCTGTTACCATCGCGTATTCTATGTATTGTGTGCAAGGCACTGAAGGAAGTACTCAGGTAGTTTTGGCCTGCAGTGTTACCAGTTTCATGCTTTTCTTTCATCAAATCCTAATGGATTTGTCCCTGCCTGATCCCTGAATAAAACGGGGACTTACATGAGACTAAACTGGTTGAGGCTTAATCCAAAAAACATGGAGATATTGGTTAAAAGAAAGATAGCAAAGATGCTATCTAGCCAACCTACATGCCAGCCCACACCAGGGTATTTCTGAGTCCCCCATTGCTTCTAAAGTCTCAGGATGATTTGGCGACAAGATTTTTTTTTTCCATTTTCATTTGGTATAACAGTTGTGACTATTTCTTTCTGAGATGTAGCTCAGTAAAGATATCTGCCTTTCTCGCTTCCTGCAATTTACTCTTGCAACGTATTCAGAAAACAGACTTGAAAGTCGTTCAACAGCCGGCACTGAATTAGAACGCTACACGCCAACTTGGTTAGCAAGGCTGGCCACGAGGACCATAGCGAGCTAGTGCTCCAGTGACGGCACTGGCCTACGTGCCGTGATAGTCATTACAATGAACCCATCAGCGACAAGGAATAAGAGTGCAGCGTGCAGTGTGCAAGAGAACATAGCGAGGGTGGGAGAAAATCTTTCCAAATTAGAACTGAAGCTTAAGCTTGTATTTTTATTTTTTATATTTGTAACAACCTTAGTCTAAGCTGGATGCAAGCCAGGTTGCAAGAAGTGCCTCTTGGAGATCTTGAGAGGTAATTTCATAGATTCTCTTTATACTGATGACCCAAACTAGGTGGAAAAATGCACGTGCCTTTGAAAACACAGCAAGCAATTGAGTCAAGTATTTGATTCCCGCATACCTGATGTGCAATTTGAACCATAGCTATGAAACTAACGTCTCCAAATGCAATAAGGACAACTTCTAAAAAAAAACGCTGGTTCATTTATGATGATGGGAACAGCTATGGGCACTAAAATGGCCTCACAGTACGCCAACCTTTTTATGAGCCACCTGGAAGAAGACTTCCTCAAGAACTGCACCATCAAACCCTTGCTATACTTAAGATACATCGATGACATCTTCATCATTTGGACTGAAAACCTACAATCTCTGATTGAGTTCCATCAGAAATTCAACAATCACCATCCCTCCATCCGACTTTCTTTAGAATACTCCAGCACCAGCATCTCCTTTTTAGACACAATGATCAGTATCCGGAAGGGTAAAATACAGACCACAGTATACAAGAAACCCACAGACCAACATACGTATCTGCACAGAACCAGCAATCACCCGAAACACACCAAAAAAACTGTGATATACAGCCAAGCCCTCAGATACCACCGCATCCGTACTGAAGAGCACACCCAGGATTGCCACCTCACCAATCTTAAAAAGACTTTCACCCAGCAAGGACACTCCTCCAGAGAGGTAGATCGCACGTTTGAAAGAGCCACCTGGATACCACGTGAAGAACTGCTGCAGTACAGAAGAAACCCCCCACAAATCGCACACCGCTGGTTATGACCTATCACCCCTCCCTTGAACCTGTATGGAAAATTCTCAAAAAATTGCAACCCGTACTAGACAGAGACCCTATTCTTAAAAGGATCTTCCCAGACCCCCCCATCCTAGCCTTCAAACAAGCACCGAACCTCGCTAACCTCATCACCAGAAGCAAACTTCCTCAAGCCCAGAACACACCAAAAGGATCCAGACCGAATGCCCTGATGGAAGATATGTAGGAGAGACCAGACAACAACTGCGCACCAGAACGAACGCACACCGAAAATCCATCAAAGACAGAAACACCCAATTAGCGGTGGGGGCACATTTCTCACAAGAGGGCCACTCTCTCTCCAATCTCTCAGTCCTGATCCTCAAGGGAAACTTACACAACACTGCCCAGAGACGAGCCTATGAACTCCATTTCATCAGCCTGCTGGGTACTAAAAATCATGGACTAAACATAGACATCGGATTTTTGAGACATTATAATCTGCCTGGCAACTGACTCCCCAGCCCAGCCCAGCCCCTGGCTTCTTTACTTTTCATTCCATCCAGGAAGAGCACACACCCACTGCTGCAGCTTCCTGAGCCTGACGAAGGGTTTTTGAACCCGAAAGCTCGCTTAATAACTTGTCTCCAACTATTTGGGTTGGTCTAATAAAAGATATCGAATTCACCCAAGGAACCTTGTCTGCCTTTGATGTGGTAGGAAAGCCTGCAGATGGTGCATTGGTAGGAAAGACAAGAGGTTAAACTTCTTGCTGTTCTACATCTGCTGTACTGGAGTTTTAAGAGAAGGGAGAATGGATGCAAAAGCTGAACTGCATGATAATGTGACACAAAATGGAGACCAAAAGATTCAATCTCTGCTCCTGTGTGAAGAGATAAGAAATAGCAGCTTCTCAGCCCCGACTTTGCAGTGACAGACTTTTTAGACTCAAAGCATCCCTCAGAAAATGCCAGCTCTTGACTTGCTTTATTAGCTTCTGTAGTCGAAAATTGAATGCAAGTCTTCTGTTGCAAAGGACTCGGAAAGACACAGCAGGTCAGAATGTTTTTGACACTGTGGTTTCCTATTTGAAAACTCTGGGTTTATCTTGTGACTTGTGTAGGTGTTTGCACATGTAACAGTGCTAATATTTTGCAGTACCCTGTGGCACCGTTAAAAGGATCTCGTGGCACACTAGCTGAGAAGGACCACACTGCTCTCAGGTCTAATCATACACCTTTGCAAAATCCAATTTAAACCCATTTCTCTGGCTCAAATATCCTGGGAATTCCTCCCTTGCAGTTACTCAGCTACACTTTTGATCTTGCCTTAACTAACAGTCCCACGGTCCATGTACCAATGTGGAGCAGCCGGCTGCATGCCTCACTAGTGCAGAACCCGTCAATCCCTTCCCATCGGGATCAACAAATGTTAACAAACCAGCATTTCCAAATTTGCTATTCAGGTACAACAGGGGTGGGCAAAATACAGCCCGCAGCCCTGCCCAGCCCAGGCACAGAGGGCAGCCCAAAACGTGGCACGTGCAGCCACACTTCATTTCCTGGCAGAGGTGGCTCCCTCTGGCTGCTAATGCCAGATCCAGCCCCAGTGTCCGGGCATCCGAGCCCATCTGCCCTGCACCCACCGCCAGAGATGGGACCTCTGCAAGCCAGCAGAGAGTGGCTCCCAGGAGTGAGATGGATAGGCAGGGCTGGGGAGACCCCAGGATGTTGGGACGGCGACAGCACAGGGCTGATCTGCTCTCTTGCACCCCCCTGCCAGCAGAACCTGCACCCGTCGCAGGGCATGTGGGCTGCTGATCATAGCTCGGCCCCAGCTCATGCAGTCACCACCCCATGACCCTGCCCTGTGATCCCAGCCTCTCCTGCTTGTCCCATTCCTGAACATCACTCCTTGCGTGCCTCCAATCTGCTCCCTGCATCCCACACAGGAAATTTTGGTGAGTTGTTGCATGGAGAGGAGGGGACAGGGAGGGTGTGCTGACCTGGCCCACAACAGCTCAACAATACTCCCTGTGTGGCTCACAGGCCCAAATAATTGCCCATCCCTGAGTTACACTATGCTTCTCTTGATGTTGGACATGTTACGCTTGCAAGAAGTGTGTATTTCCATGAGTCTAATTATTCTAGGTGGTTTTTGGTTTTTTTTCCTGTGATTTTTTTTTTTTTTCCAGATAAGTAATGCACACTTCATACTGTCCTTCATCAGTCCGCATAAACCAAAAAATCTTAACTCTTTGGGAAGTCTCCCATCGGGTCTGAATCCTAATTTCTCATCTCAAGTCCATCTCTGCTTAAGTGAATGATCTGTTCATTTGAAATCTGTTTTAAAGGAACACTGTAAATTATTGAGATCCAGGTGTAAGAGAGCTGTCTGCTGGCCTGAGAAGAGCTGGAATGAGGCAGGCTGAGATTCCAGGCACATCAGAAAGAAGCAGTCAGAATAAAATGGTAAAATATATAGTACCTGCCGCAATAATGATATATGGATCCTTCAAGAGGGTCAGTAGTGGTGTTCCTTTCTGACTCTGTTGAAACAGATTAAAAAGATAAGGATTAGTAAAAGCAAACTACTACCTATTTCATAAAGTGTCTTATGGCAGTACTTACTTCTGGTTGTGTTCTGGATGGCTGTAGAACAAATAACTGAATAGCTGTAAAACAAAAATCAATACTGTAGCTTTGAGTCAAGCTAGCTGGTGTACTATTGCAATATAAAATGGAATCAGGATTCGGGTTTACTAACCTCCATCTAACACAGCTAATGCTGCCAACACAAGAAAAGGTGCACTCCTTCCCACAAACTCATACATCACACTCCCAAAAGGTGGACCCACTATAGGAGAAAAAGCAAAACATTCATAATGTCACTTTTTAGGTTTCAAATAACTTTTGCGGGGCCTGAACCAGCTACCATGGACAGCCCAAGGCAAAACTCCTATCTGTCTTATCAGTCACAAGTTCAAAGAATGAAAGTTTTACTGCAATTTGAGAGTATTTGGGGGAGGGGGGGCTCCACAAGTGGGAGGGAGTGTATTGTTATTACCTGGCCTCCCAACCCTTGCTCAAATAGAGACACAATAAGCATGGGCCAAATCCTGCCTTCTTTACTCACACAATCAGGGCCTTCAGTGTCATTCACATTGCTTGCCAAAGTTAGGAAAGCAGGATATCTGCCCTATTCAAGCAAGTTGGCAATCTGACAAAGGATGGATGTAGTGCTCATGAGGATGGATGTAGCATGGCTATTACTAAGTTAAAGCTTCCTCACAGTCACTGACTTAAATTGGAAAGGGTTGGGGCCAAACCTTTAGGAGGCCTATTTTCATTTCTGGGATTTAAAAATGTTGTGGGTGAGAACATAGCCTCTAGTGCTTGTAAAAGCCTTTGAAGTTAGAAATACTACCTTGTACCACCAAATACCAGTTATGAAACTGCAAAAGAACAATTATATTGCTGAATGTTAATCAACAGACTCCACCACATAGTTAGGAAGAGGGAAATATTGGTGTCAGAGGTTTGATATGACTCTGAAAATCAGAAGGTTTGCCTACTGTTAGCTAAATGTATAAGTATAAAAAATATATTTTAACTTTGTTAAGACTATTTGAGTGTGCCCTGTTATTCTAATCTGGAGACAGGACGACAAAACTTGATTGGACAGAAGGGAGCTATACTATGAAATCTTCTGCAGCTTCCAAACCTCACAAAAGTACATTTTGAGTCCATGAATATTACATTTTGCTTACCTAAAACTCCCATAGCAAGGCCTCCCAGTGCAATCCCCATTGCATTCCCTCTCTCTTCATCATCTGTATAAACACTGGCCAGCATGCCCATGCCTTAAATTAAACAAAACACCCAAAAAAATAGGCAGTTATAATATAAGCCATTTTTACCCAAATCCAAGATGACTTTGAATCTAAGATGACCCTGTTCCCAAAATTAGATTCTAGACATGAAAAATTATAAATTTGTTATAATTGTCCATGACCAGAATTTAATTATTGGAGGGTCATCTTCAGTTTTCGGCAGGAAAGTTGTAGCAGGGGGGCAAGCGGTGGGGAAATGAGAGTTGGGGGCAGGCAGATGGGAAAGCCAAGGCAAGGGTGGGAGCAGGCAGGGGGAAAGAAAGTGTGAGAAGGAAGGCAAGGGGAAAGCAGGCAGCCTGTCTCCCATTGCTTGCCCCCTGGTGCCTGCCTCCCCGCCACCACTTCCCCACCCCTTGCCTCCCTGCCTTTCTCCCCCTTCCTCTGCTTTTCTCCGCTGATCTGGGCACAGGGGGAGCCCCAGAGCTGCTCCTGCCCCACCCTGCAAGGAGCAGCTGTGCAGGGCAGGATTGGCTCTGGAGCTCCCCTTTGCCTGCTGTACTGAGTCAGACCACCCCAGCTAGGAGCTGTGAGGAGCTGCTCCCCAAGGAGCCCAGCTGACTGGAGACCACAGCAGCAACATGCAGATTCCTCCTTCCCTGCTTGGCTCCCTGCGAGCAAGGGAAACAGGAGGGGAGAGGGCAAGGGGAACGGATAGGGACCAGGAGCAGGGAGCAGACGCTGGAAACAGGAATCCTCATGCTATTGATGCTGCCCCTGGTCTAGCTGGGCTCTCTGCATGGGTGCTTCTCCCAGCTCCCAGGTGTGATGCTTGATGCTAAGACAAGGCTTTTTTTTCTCCATGATTGGGGAGGGGGCACACCGCATCTTGGAATTGAGTAAATACAGTAATTTATTTTCATCATACTTCAACCCTACTGACTATTAGAGAAACATGACATATGGCTGTGGGTATCCCTTCCTGAGCCATCCTCTCCAGCTTCCTAGTTCCATCTCTTCTCCACCTCTGGCTCTTCATCCCAATCAATCTTCTTCCCCACCCAGCTATCCTCTCCACTGTTAGGGTTCCTCATTCTCATCTCATGCACCTAGGGAGAAAAAATGTCCAGCACACCTACTGCCTAGGAAATGACCTGCTGGGTGGCACGGAAGCGGAAAGGGATCTTGGAGTCCTAGTGGACTCCAAGATGAACATGAGTCGGCAGTGTGACGAAGCCATCAGAAAAGCTAATGGCACTTTATCGTGCATCAGCAGATGCATGAC